GTTGACAGAGTTTGAAGTAATATTTTTTTACTCCAAGTTCACTTCCCCCTCACATAGTTCAAGATCATAGAATTACCTAGATTGAGGGTAGCATACCACTCGATAGTAAGCCTTACAAGTATGGGCCAGTGCAAGAAACAAAAATTGAGAAATGTGTTCAGGATCTTTTGGAAGCTAGGTTTATAAGAATGAGCAACGGTCCCTATTCCTCTCCAGTTATTTTAGTGAGGAAGAATGGGGGAACATGGACGATGTGCATGGATTACAAAGGCCTTAATGGAATAACAATTAAAGATAAGTTCCATATACCCCATATTAATGAATTACTCGATGAGTTATATGGTGTACAGTTCTTCTCTAAACTAGATTTAAGGGTAGGGTACCATCAAATAAGAATGCACCCTAAGGATGTTGAGAAAACGGCCTTTAGGACACATAATGGTTACTACAATTTTTGGTTATGCCCTTTGGATTAACGAATGTACCAGCAATATTTAAGTGTTTCATGAATGATATATTTCGACCTCATCTGAGGAAATTCATATCAGTATTCTTTGATGACATATTAGTCTATAGTGCTTCTTGGAGTCTACATTTGCAACATCTGAGAGTAGTATTTGAGACCTTGAAAAAGCACATTTTATTTGTCAAAATGTCTAAGTGTGCATTTGGTAAAGATCAAGTTGAATATCTTGGTCCCATAGTATCTAAATCTGGAGTTTTAGCAGATCTTACAGAGCTAGATGCAATAGCTAAGTGGCCTATACCTACTTCATTGAAGACATTAAAAGGGTTCCTGGGGTTGACAAGTTACTACAGGAAGTTTATACTTCAGTTTGGTAAGGTCATTAGTCCTCTCACTGCTTTCACAAAAAAAAAAAAAAAAAGATAGTTTTAAGTGGAAAGATGAGGCCACTGCAACATTCAACACTCTTAAAAAGGCAATGCTTTCACCACAAGTATTAGCTTTTCCAGATTTTAGCCAACCATTTGTGATCGAAAGTGATGCATCAAGATATGGTATTGGGGCAGTGTTACAACAAAGGGGAAGACCAATAACATTTACTAGCAAGGCACTTTGTCCAAGGAATCAAGCATTATCAGCTTATGAGAAGGAGATGTTAACCATCATTCATGCTGTCCAAAAATGGCAATCTTATTTGGTAGGCAATCATTTTATCATTCAAACAAATCACCATAGTCTGAAGTATTTCTTGGAGGGTAAAGCTCATACACATGTTCAGCAAAAGTGGGTCACTAAGTTACTTGGTTTCGACTATGAAATCCAATACAAAAGAGGGTGTGATAACCAAGTTGCGGATGCATTGTATAGAGTACTTCCTGATATTGATAATTCTAATAAATCAAGTGAACTCAATGCCATTTCCTCCACTTACTCCTCTTGGTTAGATGACTTGCGAAGACAAGTTGAAAAAGACACTTGGATTATTGTTAAGTCTCAACAAGTGGTACAATCTAAGTCTGATGATGTTCCTATTAGCACTTTAAGATTCAGTTTTGATAATGCATTCTTAAAGTACGAAAACAGGATTGTATTGAGTCCATTGAGTTCTTGGAGAGATAAGGTTTTTGTTGAATTTCACTCAAGCCTTGCAGTTGGTCATGAAGGCTTCCTAAAAACTTGTAAGAGGATTTCCATGTTATTTTACTGGGAGGGTATGAAGAAAGACATCAAAAATAGAGTAGCAACTTGTGTTATATGTCAACAAAATAAATATGAGACCTTGTCTCCACATGGACTCTTGCAGCCATTACCAATTCCAGCTAAGGTATGGTCTGAAATTTCAATGGATTTCATAACTAGCCTTCCACCTTGCAGAGGCAAACTGTGATTTGGGTTGTAGTGGACCGTTTGTTTAAAAAGCACATTTCATTGCATTACTTCATACTTATATAGCTTCTTTAGTTGCTCAACTTTTTGTTGACAACATATTCAAATTGCATGGTATGCCATAATCCATAGTAAGTGACAGAGATCCAATCTTCATGAGCAAATTTTGGAAAGAGTTCTTCCAATTACAAGGTTATGCACCTTGTTTTAGCTCTAGTTATCATCCTCAAACAGATGGGCAAACTGAAGTTCTCAATAGGTGTTTGGAAACCTATTTAAGATGCTTTTGCAGTTTACAACCGAAGAAATGGGTTTTGTGGTTGTCTTGGGTAGAATGGAGCTATAACACTATCTCATTTTGCTATTAAAATGACTTCGTTCCAAGCAGTGTATGGTTATGCTCCTCCTCTTTTGCCTACTTATGAAAATGGTACAACTGAAGTGGATTCAGTGGAGCAGTGTTTGAAGGAAAGAACTAGAATTTTGTCATTACTGAAGTGTAATTTGGAAGCTGCTCAATGTCGTATGAAAGTCCAAGTTGATAAGAAGAGAACATAAAGGGTTTTGGCAGTGAGAGATTAGGTTTATCTAAGGTTGGTTCCTTACCAACATAAGTCATTGGCAGTGCATCTTTTCCACAAACTTCAACCTATATTCTATGGCCCATTTCTGGTGTTAGATAAAGTGGAAAGTGCTGCTTATAAAATTCAACTTCCAGATCATTCCAAACTACATCTTGTGTTCCATGTGTCTTGCTTGAAGAAACATTTAGGGGATAAAGTCCAAACTACAGTTGCTTTGCCAATTGTGATAGATGCTGGTATATTACAGGATGTTCCAACTGCAATTTTGCAGTAACTGAAGTACTGGTCCAGTAGCATAATCATTCTAGAGAGGATGCTACTTGGGAAGTTTACCATGAGTTGAAGTCGAAATTTCCAAAAGTTGTTCATCTTTGAGTATATTGTTTTTTGCAGTGTTCTTGTACTAGCAGATTACTTGTATTGTTTTTCTTTATCAGATGTTGATCTTGTGATCTGTAAGTTCAGTTTTAAGGGGGATGTATTGTTAGGATGCTATGACAGATGGAATCAATCTGTTGGTAATTGTTGTATGAGTTAGTTGGTTAGTCAGTCAGATTGTTAGTTAGAAACGTACTACATATAGTAGCTTGTAGGGGAAGATACTCAATCAATGAAATATTAATTGGTATTCTGTATTCTCTCTCTCTATGCAATTACTCGAAGACGTAGTTAGGTCTTAACATAAACTTTGTTATAAAATATCAACCAAATTGAATGTTTGGAGATGATGGTAAAAATAATTAATAGTTTTGATTATTACGTTCGTAGAATAAAATAATGTCACATTATCATATAAAGAATAATTGCTCCATACTTGTAAATAACAAAAAAAATTCCGAGCATAGTACATGATGGCGCTCTTCAAAACAACTCTCCGATGTGTTTACTAATCGGAAAGGGGTGGGAGGAATGGAAATAATACTTATTCTAACAACTCGAGAACCAACAAGAAAAGTAAAAAATTGAACAAGTCAAAATAGGGAATAAAAAAAAGGAATGAGGGCATGGTCAACTACCACCTAATCAATTTAATTGTTGGTCAATCAACTATTGCATAAAAGATTGTATTGTGAGAGCCACATAACAAACACAGAAGAAGTCATCAATAATTTGTTTTAATGCACATGGGCTACCATAACATAAGTTAGGAATTAGAATCATTTTAAATATCATTCTAATTAGTTAAAATGTCATCAATGAGACGTGATATTTAACCTAAAATTTGCTAGTCGAAGAGGTCTAGTACTTTTTTTTTTTTTGGAACAAACAATATTATAAGTCTCACAATGAACTAGCAATAATGTAATTCAAATTTGCCTTTGACGAAAATTTAATCTAAAATCTCTCGCTTACAAATGAAAATGAATATCACTAAAACGTACTAAGTGACAGTACCTTTTTACGATTAAAAATTACAATCTTTGGCCAAACTAAAGCGACGTTAAGTTTAATTTTGACCTATTTTGACAATTACCCAAACTAAACGAAATCATCTATATTGAGGTTTTTTTTTTTTTTTTTTTGCCTCTTCATTTTCACTATTTAAAGCAAAAAATAAAAAACCTAAACTATTTGACTTTGACATCTACGCTCTCTCAAAACCACTGTCTTAGTAATAAATTCTCTCGGTATTGATCAATCTACAATACGAAGTTACATATGATATACTTGATAGAATGTAAACCGAACCAAACTGAGTTATGCCTGTTTGGACTTGGACTCATCTAGATGAACTCAACATCCAGACAAATGCATTTTTAGTCTCATAACCATTTTGGCTTCTAGGCCGAGCCTCGTGAGAATAGCGGGGAATGTTTGGACCTAGAATTGTCATCCCTCGTTCAAGTCGAAAGGGTGCACTTCCAAATCGGCCCGTTCAAGGTCGAACACCTTGAACGCACTTGTTGTTCGAGGTCAAAACACCCCTGAAATCTTACTTTCTTGTAATAGGAGTATTTGAAACATAGTTATCTATCAATTCAATTTATCCGACCAGTTCGTTTGGGTTGATGCAATTCATCTTCCCATACATCACATCTTACCACATCAACCATTAAATTAATTCCACTCCACTTTTACGAACAACGCCCATTCTAAAGTCCTTGCACCAGGGCACGGAGACACCTCGACCGAGACACATTTCTTCCTCTGTCCTCAATCCCATTAACAAAAGTCAACCAAGTGCAACCAAAATTACCAACTTCTCTTACTCGACTTAGCCTTAGACCGCGAGTTAGCTCAAAAAAATCCTAAAAAATCATCGGCTTGCGGTCGGGACCCATTTTGAGACCAACAATGCCACCCCTAACAAGAGTCATATGCAAACATAGCCAAAACCCTCTACGTTTTTTACATGTATGTACATGATAGGTTGATGCTATATGTTTGAAACCAAATAGTAAATTTAACCGACCTAACACGATGGAAGGCAGAAATCAAATCTTGGAGCGGTGAAATTTCACGTATACATGCAATATGTTCATAACATTTTCCAAGCCATTTTCAAGTGAAAGTTGTAATTTTTATGTGTATTTACAATCTTGCACATTGGATGAATTTTATGGATGATGATATATAAGGATATACTCACAAAGTCGGTCATAAAAATTGACTACCTTGAAAGAAGGACCAATATATGATCGAGAGAGTGAGGGGAGGGTGCTCAAATCTACCAGTGATCAAAGTATCAAACCAGTCATCACCAAATGCTTTAACCGAAACACGAAATAACCACCAAACATCAGAATTCCATAAACCAAAAATACAAAGCAAACAATTACAATAAAATTAATATTTAGCATAATCAAATTAACAAACAATAAAGTGAACCTTCATAGTTGCCTCCAGGCCAAATCTGGATCTATTCCGATGATTGATGTCTGGTTTACAAAGTTTCCAAGCAACTGGGACATGAAATCTACCTCCTCAACAGTGTAAATCCCACTGAGAGAGGTCCATTCTCCCTCTGAAACAGCTTCAATATATATGCTCAATTTTTTCCCAAGGAACTTCCTCCACGCAATATTGAAATTCCAACTCTTGCAACAAAATGTAAGCACTTTCATCATTCTTCCAATTCCTATTTACATTCAACCACACAAAACAAAAAAAACTCAATTCTTGCACACCAAACCGGATAAAATCCAAGCATAATCAGATTTTGAAAACCAAATCATCAAAAAATTCAAAATTTCTAAAACTTATCGATTAGTTTTCGACTTACAATGCTGTCTGTAGCTTTTCCAAACCCAACAGAGGCAATTGGGAAGCGAGAGCATAGAGCAGGTCCCTTGGAAGCACCTGCAAACTATATATATAATTTGCTATAATACCCAAAAAATTAAATTAAATTAAAATTTGAATGGAAGCCACAACCAGTGTAAAATTAAAGAAAACATCCAAACCCCAGAGAAAAAAAAAACAAATTCTTTCAGAAAAATCAAAGAAATTCAATCAGGTAATCAATCAATTAAGTACTTAATTCCTTGGATGCCTTGAATAAATATAACATTCCCAAGATAAATAATTATGAAAGTTCTAGGATGGTACTAGTTTAACCTAAAGGGGGTTGAATAGGTTCCAATTTAAAAGTCCAATTCAAATTTCAATTTAATTTTCAGTTCTCAAATTAATCCACATTCACATCACATATAAACTATCCTACACATATGCAATTATAAAGATAAATAAAATGTGCACACAGGATGTAGGATTTTACGAGGCAAAACCCACCACTGGGAAAATCCTCGGGCTACCAAGCCAGGAAGCACTAAGAAAGAAAGAATACATAAAGACTTACAAAACTCATCAACTAGACACTCATACCAGTTGGCAGCTTTGTCTCCGCGCTTTGCTACTCGATCTTTCTTCAGTCTTCGAGTTGAAGTGGCACGACACTAACGCAGCCGTCAATCACCTTTCCCTCGAACTTTGCAGGATGCTAACTCGATCATGCAGAATGTTTATATGATGAAGTGCTTATTTGAAAAAACAATCAATTACGAAAATCACAAGGCACATTTTCATAATTGACATTCAATTAAAAACTTAAATGAAAGCAGCATGAAAACAATATTTTCTCTTTTAAAAACCCATGCTGTTGAAACCACAAGACAGCAGCAATATCAAAAATATTTTCCTTATTCAAAACACCAAGATGTTGCCTCTCAAACTTACAACAAGGAAAACAGGTTATATGCATATGCGGCTTCCCTCAAAACAGTTCCTGACCTCCCTTATAAATACATAAATATGCGGCGCATGGACAACAAAAAAAACACTAAAGGAATATATGCCGTGCTGCTAGTGTTGCTGACTAAAGCTCAAATATCCCTTTAACGCACAAAAACGACAGCCCAAAAACAAAGCCTATTCCAATGCATGCTGCAGCAACCAAAACCAACAATTATGATACGATGATGACTTCTGAAAACCTAACGCATGCTCTCTCAAATAAATGTCTGCTCTCAGTGTATATATATGTTCTGATACGGAGCAGCAACCCACAAACCCTAACCTGATGAATCTATATATATATAGGTCGGTTAGATTAAGCACGTGGCCGAAGAAAAAAGAAAGATCAGACTTGTCATCCTAATCAATTAAAACAACTAATCCAATAGAGTTTGAAGTGATCTCTAAGTGAAGAGATAAACTAAAGACCATTCGAAATTTATCCACATATTAAATGCATGGCATCTAACTCCAAATATATAATTCTCATATTAATGTATGGACCTTTAATTAAGCTAAATGAAGTCGTAGCAAATTAATTAATATGTAAAGCCCAAACCTCAATTGTTATAAACTTAAGCTAAACAGCCCATTGAACAAAAACTTATATCATGTGAATGCATATGCATGTCAAACTTACTTGAGTGGATGTCTCTGAAACGCTTGCCATTTTGTGATCGAGAGCACGTGAGACAAACTTAGACTAAAATAATTACAACTGAAAACAAGCACTAGTCTAAGATTACAGACTCAGGCGTTTTGTTTAGGAACTGCCAATTTTACTCTAACAAATTAACTATCCAATATTATATTTTTTCTGTTTCTTTCTTTTTATTCTCGGGAAAGCAATAAACCCAAAAACAAATAATTGAAGAAAACATACAGAAAATATTGGGGAGGAGTGACATACAATATGCTGAGTTCTTCTTTGCTCAACGACAAACCTCAGAGAAAATCAAACCTTTTAAACAACAACAAAATCCAGCCAGAGAACTCAGTTTTGCAGTAAGTCGTAAACACCATGCGAGATAGCAAACGAAAGGCAGATGTTTAGCAGCGAACAATAGGGAATACTCCAAGAATCAGGCCCAGGAAACTTCAAGTCCATTGCAACAAAAGATATATGGAAGTAGTACTCTAAAAAAAGCTTATCATAATTAATTAATTAATTGGAATATTTTAGAGCTGTGATTTGCTACATGGGAAAGGGATGCGTTTAGGAAAAGTTGATTAGATTTGGAATCACAAACACTTCGGAGGGATTTTATGATAGTTCTCTTAAAACCAAAAGAAAATATTAGGGTTTCTTAGTTTCTTACCCAAATCCACCAATTTGAATCAAATCTCTGTAGCCGAGCTTCAAATCTGTCTCAAATCGCCTCCACGAACACGATTTTTGGAAGACTGGAAACGCATAGAGAGGCAGGCCCTGTATTTTTTGTACTTTGAAACGCAATCCACCTTGTCCTATTGACCCTTCACAGACTTCTCCAAGTAACCTGTAGAGAGAAACAATACCCATTATACATTTTTTCAGATGGATTTTTAGAGAGGCTAAAGATTAACGTTTTAAGGACACATGAAAACTAATTTAATGCTGAGATTTTCACAGGAGAAGCGAAAGAAGAAGATAGAGTGCGACGGAAGCAGAGATTTGAGTGAGAGAAGTGAACACAAAAGGAAAAATCTAGAAGTTGTAGTCAAAGCATAGGTTTGGAGAAGCAGCGATGAGTGATCTGATTTTTTGAATGAGAGAGTGGAATCAAGTAGAAGAGTCGAGAAACATAAGGTGAAGCGATGAGAGATGCGTGCAGCAAGGGTAAATCCGCCACTTCGCTATACAGAAATGGAAAATAGAGAAGCAAGTAAGGGCATTACCGCCATTTCACTGTTCCCGAACAGTGAAAAACAGTGTCAGCCGAACTGAGTTTTAGAGCATTTTCACTGGGGGTGGGATAGGCCGGCACCCAGTAGAAAAAACAAGCTGAGACTCAACCAATCCATTCCAGCCCGTGGAATCAACTGGCACCCAGCCCAAGCCAGTCCACAGGCCGGCCTAAATTTGATAGACCTTGGGATCGGCCCAAGTGACGCCTAGCTGATACCAGCGTGGTGTAGGAGGGCAAGCAACCATGGAGCCTGGATAAAAAGACATGCTTCGGAAGTGGAAAGCTGAAAGCATCTCTCTTTTTCTGAGACCAAATTTCCGATCATGAGCGCATGCTTCTGCTGCTCTCTGATTTGCTCATCCTCTATCAGCCATGATTATCCCATTTACCGCCCTCTCACGAAACTCAATCATCCGATTTTCTCTCTCGCACTCATAAAACAATATTTTGATGCTGCTGCTCCGAGATTCGTCGTCATAAGAGCCGTCGAGCCCAGACTCAGTGTTGTGGAACCGGGAGATATGTCGGTGCAGGACCTGCTGTCGATTGATGTTGTAGAGAGGGCGGGATTATCGCGTCGTTGATTTGGGTTTTGGAGTGTGGAAGTGAGGTTGGGAAAGAAGAAGCTGCAAAGAGCTTACAAAGATTAAAGTCAGAAATTAAAAATAAAAATTTTTTTTAATTATTTTATAATAAAAATAATAATGTTTTAATAAATTTGACTAGGCTATTTTTTGTTAGGAGTGGAGATGCATTGGCCTATTACTGTTAATTATAGTCTACTACTGTTTACTATAGTAGATAAATAGGCTGGGTGCTGGCACAAAGTCCTTAGGGGTGGACTTGCTCTTAGTATATGTATAATGTATGCTTTATCCAAAGGAATCTTATTTGAGGTAAAAATGAGGGCTAGTTGTAGTATTTGGGGTCCACTTCACATTTGAATTTCAACAAACTGAATCGTTCATTTTTTTCATATTGCATTTTATAGAACATTCTTGTAAAATATTAGTCAAATCGGAAATGCTTGAGGAATCTAATTGAGTTCAAAGAAATTGACGTAACACTATATTTTAAGAAACATCAAAATTTCACCATGACAATCAAATGGAGTAAATGATTTTGGATTGAATTGATTTATTGTAAGGATGATCTATAAATAAAGACTTCAAAAATAAACGGTTTGAATCTATTGTGTCACGGGCTCTCGAATGTCTACTGCTAAGGTTGTCATGCACCGAAAATTGTCTCTACTTAACCATTTAAGGCACAATCCGTTGGGTGGTATCAAGCCCAATAGACCTCAGGTGTAGGGTTTTATCTTAAAAGACATCGGGGCAATTAAAAGTGGAACACTTATATTTAAACCTTAGATGTTGCACTTCTCCAACGTTGGACTCTCTTTACATCCATTTTGGCTTAAATCGAGCTAACCTTTTACGTGAACAAGATCCTTGAAGTTTGATGTATAATAAGTCTCACAAGTAGTCCCTATTTTAAAACAAAAATGAAGATTCATTTGAACAAGGGCTCGGTATACATACATACATATATATAATACATATTGTTGACCCTAAAAACTACCAAGCCTACGTGACGCGCAGGCCGAGTAATTAGTAAGTTAACTACGTCCTTCGGTTGTATGCGGGGCATGCCAACTCGTCGGCCGAGCTCGGCCGAGGAGTAAAATTTGTTGATATTGCGTTAGGTGCGCTACTAACTTCTGAATCTTGCGACTGCGACCGAGGAAGGAACTTGTCTCGGCCTTCGGGTTCTAGAGCCTGAAGACAAGGCTGCTAACTTAGTGAAGTTCAATATCAAATTCGGCTTTCAATGTGCCAAATGTAGTAACTTGTAACACCTCACTTTGCCGAAAAGTCTAATGAGATGACCTCGACCAATAAGGATTCGGAAATCCTTTTCGACCGAGACTTGGATAGGTAACCAACCGCCCTCGCTGCAGTGTTGTTGATGCCAACGGAAGATGCTGCAAGATCGGCTGATTCTACGGTGACAGAGCTATCTATACCGACTGAAGATATCACCGGTTGCTTTCACAGTGCTGTTGATGCCAACGGAAGATGTGTCAGCGAAAAGAGAAAATAAAAAATATCAAAGTTGTTGAGAGAGTTTGCGCAGGGCAGTTGTGTGTTGAATTGGAGGTTCCCCTTAATGATGTACTGCCTTTGTATTTATATGAACAAATGTTGTGTGGCGCATCTTCACACTACTACAAGATTTGATTTCAATTCAAACTCGTCAGCTAGAGTCCAAGTCAAAACCTTCTCCAGATAAGCAACACCCTATCTTTTAGATACCATCATTATCTCCTAGACTCGGCAATAAAGAAAGCACTGCCAAAAAACCACCTTGATCACGTCGTTTGCCTTCCATGAATGGCAATTCCCTTCCATGTGTATGCATGTCCTCCTGAAAAATTGCAAATGAATGGCAATTCCCTTCCACGTGTATGCATATCCCATTGAAGAATTGCAAATGAATGGCAATTCTTCTTCTGACTGTTGATTTTTATAACCATTCTCATTTAATATAATCCCATGCAAAGTTTGATTTCAAACAAACACCGTGATATCGATCATATTTAGTTTAGATAAATTGATATATTATTAAAAGATATATCATGATTAAAACCACAATATATGTCACAGCCCGTCCCGGGATTTCTATATCGGGGGCGTGAATTGACGTAATTACCCTTGGCGGACATTTGGGTACGTGTGTGTGACATTATCTGAATTAATTTTGTAAGTTTTGGGATTAAACTATTGGAATTGGAATTTTTGTGGTTAGGGATTTGGATGGATGGTGAGGATTTTGTTGGACCACACAATCACACACACACGCACTCCCTGTCTTCTCTCCCTCCCGTAGCACTCTCTGTCTCTCTCCCTCACGATCTCTCTCTTTCCCTCACCCTCCACGTACGGACCACCACCAAAACCCTTCAAAACTTGACGGATCGAGGCAAATAAGGTATGTATCTTCATCCTTTTGACGTCCTGAGTTCATTGGTGCTAGTTTTAGGAAGTGAGACCTTCGATTTCACGTGGAATCTGAAACCTCCATTTTTGGGTGCTGTTCATGCGAACGTAAAATGTTGTGTTTCAGGGGAATTCAAGCTTATAGCAAGCTTAGTGAGGTCCTAAGGAAGCTCGGGGATGTTCGTTTGAAGGATTTGGACGTCGGGATCGTGGGTTTCAAAGTTGGCCGAATTCTTGGATTTTGCTCGGTGAGATTTCTTGATTTTTAGACCCTAAAACTAGTCCAACGTGATAGTACACTCTTAGGGCTTCAATTTGGTATAAAATACGAAGAAAATGGGTGAAAAACGAAGGAGAACAAGAGGTTTAAAGTTTGGCCGGAATTGGGTCGCCGGAAAAACCAGTCCGGCGAACCCTGGGGAAGACGATGACACGTGCCGCGCGTGGCTGCGCGTGGCCTGCGCGTAGAGCCGAGCTCTAGCCGGCGCGTGAGGGCGCGTGGGGAGTCCAAATCAGTTTCTAAAAATTTCTCGACGCTCGTGACGTCGAGTAGGTCGATGTGGTATATTCATATGCCCAAATTGAGCATCGTATGAGAAATTATTTCGAAATATTGGTGATGTGTTTAAAATTAACGTTTTTATAGTTATTTCGCATATAGGTGAGACGTATCCTGAGGACGACCGCATCCAGGGACGCCACGGGGGTTACGACCCGTCGACTTATCAGTGAGTGGGCAGTTTTGTTTTCGTATTACCTTTATACTATTAATTTTTCCCAGAAGATGAATTTATACGAAATTATGTTTTGAAAATGCCATGCATAGAATTATTTGGAAAATGTGAATTTCATATGAGTTATATGATTGATATATGATGCATACATGTTGCATGGTGCTGTGGAGGCACAGGTAAGTCAGGTGAGTTCATTATTCATTTAATTGATTGTTGATAAGATGTTTCAAGCTCATAACCTGCACCCTAGGTGTTAGTGCTTATTTTATTCACCACACCGCACGCTCGCCTTGGATCCAAGTAGGTGGATGTTGTACAGACCATGTGAGGGTTCCGACATGCCAGTCGCACAGACCATTAGAGGGGTTCCGACTGGTGGGTGACCTTAGATATGCGCGCTGATGATATGATGAGAGAAGCACTAGAGCGTATTTTTACACCTTTCATCGTACAGACTACCTCACGTAGTTCCGAGTGATGTGCAGAGTAGGGCCGTACAGGTCACTGTGGTGGCTCCGGCTTAGTGGGATATTGAGCTGTTGAATTAATCGTATAGGACCAACTGCAGGGTCTCCGATTGATTCCTTATTTCACCTGATTTATATTTTGATTTATTGCATGGCATGTTTCCTTGAAAAATGTTAAAGATTTGGGATTTAAGTTTTGAGACTTCATATGGTTTTATATATATCTACTTTTTCTGGGGAATGTATACAGGTTTTACGATGAGGGGTTAGAAATGTTTTAATTGAAATGTTTTGGAAAATCTTTGGTTTTACTGACCCACTCATTTTGTTTTGCGCCCCTCCAGGTTCTAAATTAGCGGTTGGTGGCTTTCGAGGTCTTTTCCGGCTTTCTGACAGACCTTCGACATGTAGGACTCACCTGAGGGTGATGTATTTTATTTTAGTCCTACTTGACTGCAGTTAACCTATGCTCTGAACTTATGTGTTTACCTGATAACTCGTCCAGTTATGTTCGTAGGTGGTTATGTTTGAGTTTGGTTTGAATTTCTGCTGAGTTATATTGTTATTTTGCTTCCGTGTCGCGCCGATGGTTACGTGACGGCCAGCACACCTGGATCCTCCGGATCGGGGTGTGTCAATATATCCTTCAATAATAATTA